TACTAACAATGCCTATTATGTCTCGCACGATTCATATCCTGGGTGCACTTGTTGTGGGCATACATAGAATAATGTGAACCAATCATCTGCTCAGCCACAAGCTCATATGGCTGCCAATGTTCAAGAATAGTGGGTGGTCGATTCTGGTGCCACACACCACGTAACACCCGATGCATCTAAAGTTGTTCATCGTACTGACTTCAACAACCCAGGTAAGCTTGTGGTAGATAACGGATTTCATCTAGATGTTAAAATGAATGGTAATTTTGTTATATCCTCTCCTTCACATGCATTATTGTTGATTGAGTTACTGTTTGTACCTACCATAACGAAAAAATTGCTTTCCTTATAGAAGCTTGCTTGGGACAAATATGTGTTCTTTGAGTTCCATGCAATTCATGATGAAGTGACAAAGAAAGTGCTACTAAGGGGAAAGCAAGGAGGAGTGTACTCGTTTTCTTTAAGTAATAGAATGAATAAGTGTAAGGTTGTTGAAGCTAACAATGTGACTGGTGCTCTTGATTCTTTTGAACTATGGCATAGGAGGTTAGGCCACCCTGTAAAAGATACTCTGATTAAGGTTTTCAAAATAATTTATTTAAGTGTTGCAAATGATATTAATAAAGTGTGTGTTGCTTGCCATATGGTGAAGAGTCAGAAACTTCCATTTGGTTCTTCAAATACTGTGCATAATACTCCTTTAGAACTTGTTTTTTTCTAACCAATGGGGGCCTCCTCAGGTTTCATCAAATGGATTTCATTACTATGTTATGTTCGTTGCTGCTTGCACTGGCCATAAATAGTTATATCTCTTGAAAGATAAGATTGAAGTTGTCACAGCCTTTAGATTGTTTCAAAAATTGGTTAGCATTCAGTTTAATCAGTCTGTTAAGGCTCTTCAAACAGACTGATGAGGTGAGTACATGGCATTGTTCCACGAATTACATAAGGCTAGAATTGTGCATCACGTGACTTGCCCTCACACGTCAGAGCAAAACGACATTGTCGAGCGAAAGCACAGTCATATTGTTGAGCTTGCTTTAGTGTTACTTGCTCAGACATCTATGCCTATTCGATATTGGTCCTTGCAGTACATACAACTGTGCATCTGATAACAGGCTGCCTAAAAAGGTTTTGTATGACATGTCCCTGTTTCAGAAGTTGTACGATAAACCCTTGATTATAGTGCAATGAAAGTTTTTGGATGCAGGTATTTCCCACATTTGCGACCTTTTCAAACACATAAACTTGATTTCAAGTCTCAATCATGCATTTTTTTGGGCTTAGTAGTCAACACAGGTTTTTTTGTGCCTTGCTCGGGTGTACATCTCAAGGCACGTAGTCTTTGATGAAGCATATTTTCCCTTTGCTCATGAGACTAATGAGAGTGTTAAGCAGGGTGATTCTTGATGCAAGTATCAATCCTTGACTGTGGTTAATGATGTTTGTAAGCTTCAAATGGTTGTTTTCGTATCCTGTACAGGTACCTAATAAATATAGTTTACGTGATATCCCAACTAGTAATACAAGGCTAGAGTCATTCAGCAATATTACTACTGCTAATAGCAGCACACCTATACTAGATACATCAATTGTCTCGAGTTCTGAGAGTCTTGGTGGCGAACGGTTACTCTCAAGTTCCTAGTCAGGACTTTCGAGATACCTTCGACCCGGTTGTGAAATGTCCTACCTTGTATGTTATACTTTCGTTAGTTGTAAAAAAAATTGGATTTTGAGACAGGTTGATGTCAACAATGCATTCTTGAATGGGGACTTGGATGTAGATGTTTTCATGGAGCAACCACCTAGCTTCGAGTAGATTGCATCTAATGGCGCTCTACTTGTCTGTAAGCTCAAGAAGACTCTATATGGCTTATGGTAAGTGCCAAGAAATTGGCATACCAAACTCAATGAATGTCTTCTGCAACGTGGATTTAAGGAGCCAAGAGCAGATGTATAACTTTTTATTTGAAACAAACAAGGCAGCTACACGTACATGTTAGTGGACGCCGATGATATAATCATCACAGGACAATCTAATGGTGATATTGAAGAAGTTGTTCAATTGCTTCGTGTTAAATTTCCCCTTAAAGACCTTGGAGGGCTAAATTTCTTTCTCGGTATTGAGGTTAAACGATGCGAGGGTGTGTTGATACTCAGTCAGAGGAAGTTCATTCTGGAGAATTTAGAAAGGGGCAACACGGTGAAGGCCACACCAACTTCTACGGCAATATGGCTGCAACCAAGCTAGCCCAAGATGGATAGGGGTGTTCAAAATTTCGATTAACCGATAAAATTGACCAAACATAATTTTTTTTGTTAATCGGTCGGTTAATTTTAGGTTTGATCGGTTAATGGTTAATGATTTTTTTTAAGTTTGGTTATTGGTTAATTTGATTCGAAATCGAATAATTAATTAAAAATTTTAAATATTTAATATATTATTTATATATTAATATATTTAGGAGTCTTTAAATTTCGGTTTTAACTAAATTAAACGACTAAATTAGCTTAAAATATTAAATATTTAATATATAGTATATATTATTTAAAATTCTTATTAATTCGGTTAACCGACCGGTTAATTGAATTTTTTTCGGTTCGATTAATTATTTTTGAAAAAATTTGGTCAACAGTTAAAACAAAAAAAAAATTGGTTAATGAAAATTTGAAAGTTATGTTCGGTCAGTTAACCGAACCGACCGATTGAACCCCTAAAGATGGAGGTGAACTACTGTCATGTGCTCGTGAGTATCAAATCATAGTGGGAGGTTTGCTTTATGCGCATCATACTCGACCAAATATAGCGTTCAGTGTCAGCAAAGTTGCCCAGTTCATGCACTCGTCTGATGAAGTTCATCTTGTTGCCGTAAAAAGGATCTTAAGATCTTAGCTGAAACGTCAAGCTATGGTTTTGTGCTCACTCCAAACAGTTTGGGGTTGAATGTTTCTACATATGCTGATGCCGATTGGGGAGACGATGTGGATGATCGTAGGTCAATCTCGGGACACAGAGTGTTTGTTGGTACTAACTTGGTGACCTGGTCCTCCAAGAAGCAGAAGGTGGCGACTCGGTCTACAACGAAAGCTGAATATAGGAGTGCGGCAGATGCATCAGCTGATGTTGTCTGGGTGGAAGCACTTATCACAGACCTGGGTGTGCTTAAGCGAGAAGAACCAGTCATCTGGTGTAATAACTAAGTGCCAATCCCGTGTATCATGTTCATACTAAGCATGTCGAGCTCGACATCCACATTATGAGAGAGAAAGTAGCAGCACATCAGCTTTGCCTCAACTATATCCCTGCCATTCACTGGTTGGCAGATAGGTTGACAAAGTCTCTGCCAAAAGGTGCATTTGAAATTTTTGGAGATAAAATATGTGTTCAGTCTTACTAAGCAAAGGAAGGAGAGAAGAAAGAGCAGAGGGAATATTGGATGAAGCTAATGACTTCATCTAAGTGTTGATGTAGTTTGTATGAGCTTGCGTCAGCAATATGTTGGTTTAACAAACAGTTACATTGTTACTGAGTTTATTCTCTCAATAACGATAATTTGATGTGTGACTTTAAGATCGTTGGTATGACATATTTTTTCAATAAATTAATTTTCATTGTGCAGATCGTTTGGTTTCAAATTATTGTATTACATTACATTTTAGTGTGAAATGTCACCTAGATTAATCAACCTTTTCACACGTATAATGAACCACCTTTACATTTCAAGGCATGCATGATGAGATATAATGATCAATACAACGCTACAACAAAGATTTGCTCTTTATCTTGATTTCTCTGAGTAAACTAATTAATTATCCTTGATGCTCACTTTTGTTAGTGACCAAGATGAGGCCTTTACAATTATTTGAAGGTGGGTCGGATCGGATCATATAAACTCGAACCCATTAATATAAGTAGGTATAGGGATCCAAACCCAATGAGTTTCAATTCAATCCGACCCTATCATATTGGATTTTTTTTAAAAATGAGCCAGATTCGAGTTTTATCTCAAAAGTATGGATTGAATTCAAATTGGATGGATGATATATAATTTTCGGGTCGAATTCAATTTAGGTGAAAGGTATATAACTTTCAAGTTGAATAGATCCATGCTCTCCAACGCCACTTCCCCTCTTTGTCACATCATCCTCTCGTAATTTAGCTAAAAAAAAGGCATAATTATAAACCTCACCCTTGATATTTATTGATTTTTTTTTATCAATTTGACCCTTATTCTAATTTTTAACTAATTATAACTCTTAACCTTTAAGAAAATCAAATTTAACCTACAACATTTCCTTAACCATCTTGACATGGCAAGATGCAAGATAACCATGCATGCGTCCTTCACATTAATATTTTTATTTTTAAAATAATTTTTTATTTTAAAATTATTTACGATAAACTTGCATTTAATATTTAAACTATCAATTTTGATCAATTTTAGTACCTAAACTTTTAGTTTTTTCAAAATCTTACCTAACATTTATTTTTCATTTCATTTTATTACCCAATCGTTAAAAACTTAACACATTTAGTACCTAAACTTTCATTTTTTTTTCAAAATTTAACGTTAAATTTTAAACGGGAGTACTAAAATGAAACAAAAACTAAAATTTTTAACGACCGATACTAAAATGAAACAAAAACTAAACTTCAGGTATGATTTTTTAAAAAATTAAAAATTTAAGTATTAAAACAGATCAAACCTGATAATTTAGATAGTAAACGTAAATTTACCCCATTATTTATCGATGCATCACATATGACTAATAATATCATGACAACGTAAAATACAAGTGAAGCCGAAAATTCTCCATTTTGACTAGCACTCTTCCAATAAATAACTCCATTTTGACTAGCATTCTTCCAATAAATAACTCGAATTCTCCAGAAAAAAAATCAATAGACCAAGGACTAGATTTATTAGATTTGCTGCTCAAATATCGATATTAATCTCGAAACTACCGGCGAATGCCCGATGACACAAGGAAACTTCAAGTCTTATAAATAAGAAAATAGTTAAAGAGAGAATTTTCCATCATTTGAGATCCGATCTAAAATGATCGGACCTAACTCGAGTTCGAAATAGTCAAAACTTAAATACAACTACTAAATATCGGATCGTAGACACACACAAAATGATTAATCCAGGCAGATGATGAAATGAATATATAAGGCATGTAACATATCCTCCCTCCCCAAACATCTATCAAACAGAAAGAAAGAAATTAGTACCATAATTTAGTATGATATGGTGACTGACCGGTGAAATGATCAGTTGTTGTTGTCGGGTTTGTCGTCGACGAGAGGGTTATTAGCGGCACTGATCGATGCAGCCAAATTGTGTCGCTCATCAGCATTGGCAGTAATGATCGGCATCCATACATCGGCGGTGCCACTCAAGAGGGACTGCACCTGCGGGTCTGCAGCCATGGCGGAGGATATCATCTCATCCACACCATCCAATTTAGCCGATAATTTGTCCAACTCTCTCGCGATTTCCAGCTGATATCCACAATATATATACACAACATTGAGTAGACACAAGTGAGAAATTTCCCGGCTTAAATGAAACGAATGCGCGGAAGAAGATGGAGAGTAGATGAAGTGTTTATACGGTCGGTTCAGATAATAACCTAATCGAAATCCGGTCAACCAAACTGATCTTTTGGGTGAATTAATTACCCAAACCACATTAAACTTCAGCTGATTCGATAGGTTTCGTTTAACCGAGTTTTACTTCAATGCATAATTTTGTATCTCATCTCAAAAAAACAAAACATTCCAAAATATAAACGCAAATAATCGTATATATACGTAAACTATGAATAAACAGTATAGTATTGGACATGTTACATATCACTAGACCAAACCGAATTAACCAAAAATTGAACTTCCTAACAAATCTCTTCCGATCACTAGACCGAAGTTCGATAGTTAGCTGACCGCCAAATGATTAATCGAAAATCTCCAGTTCGGTCGGGGAATTCGGTTTTAACCAAAGGTTTAACACATCTAGATAGTAGTTTTGGATTCAGGTCAGAAAATATACCTCATCAAGGCTGTGTGTAGACTTGGAAGGAACTTTTGTAACCTCCAATCCAAGAGCTTCGATTTTCGATCGCAATTCGACTTCTTCCTGATTCGTCAATGCTTCTACCTATACATATGAACATATGAATCACAAAGCAAGAACAAATTTAAATTAACCAATCAAAAATTCAATTGTAATAATATAAAGGGGGGAAAATGCAAAAAGATTACATTAAATCGAAAAGAAAAGGATTTCTAGTAAAACCTAGATGATGAATCAAGTGAATTTGGATCCGTTCCGAACCGAACCTAAGAATGGAGAGGGAATTGGGAGGAGAAATTGATTGAAATATCGGAGAATACCTGATGGAGTAAACTGGAAAGGAGGTGGAAAAACTGGGGATCTGATGTATTGCCTTCTTCGGCTGCCATTTTTTTTGGTTTAGCTAAATATCTGAATCTAACCGATAACCGATCGCAAATCTCAATCTCTTCACTTTCAATTGCGTTGCGTGATTCGATCCGTAACTTGGAGACAGGGACTCGAATCCGACCGGTTCAGACCAATTCGTCATAAACGAGACGGATTTTATAAAATAAAAAAAAATTGAGTTCAGATCGGTGTCGGGTCGAAGGGACTCGAATCCGACCGGTTCAGACCAATTCGTCATAAACGAGACGGATTTTATAAAATAAAAAAAAATTGAGTTCAGATCGGTGTCGGGTCGAATGGGAGTCAAGTTTAGTGTAAAAAATATTCTATCCAACTCCATAAAAAATATAATTTTATATTATATATTTAAAATAATTATAATAATACTCTTTTTTATATTATTTTTAATTATTTTTTTTATTTTTATTAAAAAAAATAATACTTTTATAAATATATTATTTTAAGACGAGTTCGAAATTTATCTCAAAAGAATATATCGAATTCAAATGGAATGGCAAGTATATAGTTTTCAGATTAGATTCACATTGAGTGAAATGATATGTAATTTTGGGATTAGATCAAATGAATCGAAAACCGATCTAACCCACCCACGTCAATTCTTACTTTGAAACAACTTTTTTTTTTATGATTTTATAAATCAGAATCGAATTCGGATATTCAAATCTGTATATATTGTGAATTTGGATAATAAATATTTCTCCTTTTTTATTCGCCTTTTGTTTCATTAGTTAATTCACTAATTGCATGCGAATTATTATTCAGATTTTAAATTAATTCACTAAAATTTTTGCATAAATCAAATCTTTCTATTAATCTAATTATCAATTTAGACATTAAATAATAATTTATATATGACATAAAATATAATAAATTATTATATATATAATTTTGAATTTAATATCTTAAAAACATACAATGTTAATAAAAAAAATTAAAATGATCAGTTTTTATTTATTATATTTTAAATTATTTATATAATAGACAAAATAGGAATGATAATAAAATATATATATTCAATAAATTTTGATTCTATAGTATGAAGTTATTATATATATAAAATAAATAAATTGGATTATAAGTCAGATCATTTTCTTAAGTTTGATTGGATCGAATTAAGTTTAGAAGAAATTGTTTTAGTTTATTGATATAAAATTAATAAGTTTTGGGTTCACCGTTTGTTCTTTAAAAGCTGTTGGGGATGGTATGAAGGTTCATTTTCTTGTGGTTCTGAGATTTTTCTTTCAGACTTCTTTCATGTTGTCTGTGTTTAATGCTACGTCAATTATACGCATTCCCAAAGCCCCTAATGCTTCCTTGGTAATGGACTTCCATCCCTGTTGTTCGGTGTTTTATAAAACGATTACCAGGATCTTGGTTAGTAGGTTCACTGTCTATTTTCCAGGCATGGTTTTCTCAAGTTAATCTGTCTTCTTCAAAGGAAGGAGCATTGTAGACAATACCTTGCTAGCCCAGGAGTTAGTCAAAGGGTATGCTAGAAGAACCCTCTCTTCGAGATGTGCCATTAAAATAGCTTCCCAAAAGGTCTTTGACTGTGTCAGTTGGAAGTTCCCGTTGAATGTTCTTGATGTCGTGGGTGTACCAGCTTGTTTCAGGGGCTGGATTGAGGCTTACACTATCACTTTAAGGTTCTCGATCTCTTTCAACGGTAGTTTGGTTGGTTTCTTCAAGGGTGAGAGGGGTTAAGGCAAAGTGACCCTTTGTCACCTTATCGTTTTGTCTTGGTGATAAATGTGAATTGGTCGTTAGTCAAGAGTAGTAGGGTTTGAAATAGGATAAGGGACTAGGGCTAAAGTGAGATGACACAAGCTCATTTGGTTTCCTTCTCACATTTCTAAGCACTCGATCAATGCTTGAATGATTATTTTGGATAGATTACTCACGAAAGATAAGCACTCAATCATTTGGGTTTTTTTTATAACATTTGGATATAATTTGTCTTAAGCTGAGTAACACTTGTATAAACAAAGGAGATAGGGTCAATGGGAGATTGGGGATTCCTTAATTTTGTGAAATCCTCCCTCTGTAGCTACTTTTGTTTTCAATTAACATTTCAGATCACGTTTTGGGCCACTATAAATATTTTTAAACTGGGGTAGGTACAAGGTTGGAATTTGTTGTTATAATATTTTTAAATCATATGATTAAATTCAATCTAAAATCTAGACTACCTTAAAGACATCATTCATACAATATTGATACTTTGAAGATTTAATTAAAATATATTGAAACTTTAAACCAATTTAAAATATTTTGAGGATGCTTAACGTAATTAACCCATACTTAAAAGGCTTTTATCTTTCCTTCTCCTGATAATACCACAGTAACAAATAAGCTCTACATCCAAATCACTACACTAAACACAACACTTGCTTCACTGCCTCCAATTCCATCACCTACACTCTAGTAGTTCCTTCCTACACTATTATAAAAACAGCATCTACACGTGATAAGTGCAACACATCAGGAATTCGAGAGGCCCCGATATGTCATCGGTTTCTTCCGATGCTAATCTTCGGCATCAGTTTCCCACATCCACAGCACCATCACTTCGGAACTGTTCTACAAGGGGAGGTAGCAGGAGTGCAAGCCTTGTTTTGTACCTCACAATTTGATTTAATCGTTCTTGTTGTAACCTATGACAACAACAATCATCGGTCATCAGTCACGTACATGATTTTTTTTATAAGAATAGTAGGCCTCATTAAAAACCCCCTTCATGATTAATGGAACTTGAAGACAGTTCTTTAATCAGCGGAAGGAGGAAAAGAGTGCCCTAGGATTTCATTAACATCAAATAATTACATAGGAATACAAGACCTAAACTCCCTTAAGGAGATAGAAAACTAAAAAGAAACATCCCTTAACAGAACATAATGATCAACCAATGCCAGCCTTAGCTAGGGCGTCCGCCTCTATATTAGTTGTCCTATTAACACATCTAATAAGACCTTCACGATCTCTAAGCTTTTGAATAATGTCTTTAGCAATTTGAACATAAACTACAGTACATAAAACAACATCCTTAATCCAGTCAACTGCCACCCTACTATCACTCTCAATAATCAAGCGGTCTTTAAATCTATGACGAATAGATTCAAAAAAATCTAAACCCTTTAGGATAGCTTTCAATTCCATCAAAGCTGGAGACCCCGGACCAACAGCCTCTTTGAAAGAGCCAAGGATCGAACCAGACATGTCTTTTAGAACACCACTTAAACCACTCCTCTTCCAATCACTAGTAATAGCAGCATCCACATTAAGTTTAATAAAGCCGTTTGGAGGAGGGGACCAAGGAATCTTAGTTGAAATCATATTAGAATGGGACGAGTAAGAATCTCGTAAGGAGGGATCAACAATAAGAACATCCTTGGAGATAGAAACCATATTTTTCTTAGCTAAAAACCATGAAGCAAGCCTGAACCTTACTAGAAAGAAAATTTCAGCTCGATCTAGCTTCCCTCCTTCGAACACAATAGAATTCCTAGTTTTCATATTGTCCATAGAACCACTCCAGGAATAAGTGACCATATTAGAGAGTTGGTTTCAAATCAACCCATGCTAGGAGAAAACTTTTAGCATCTTCATGAAAAACAGACTGAAAATTCCAGTAGCTCATGAATTTAGTCCAAATTGACCAAACAAACGAACAAGAAAAGAATAAATGAGATGGAAACTCTTCTAATAGCTTACAAAAAGGACATAAAGTATCATTTATGCCCTTAACACCTCTTTTAACCAGTACTGCCTTCACTGCCAGCTTCTTTAAAATCACTTGCCAAAGAAAAGTCTCCACCCTTGGAGGCAACAAGCCCCTCCAAACAATAGTTTTCCAAAAATAAGCTTCCTCCAAATCCGAAATACCCGAATAAGATATATTAACACATGATTTAACAGAGAAAACCCCGTCTCCAGAACCCTTCCACAACAGCCCATCAGCAGAAATAGAAAAATCGGAAATAACAGCCATCAAATTTGTTCATTTGCTCAAATTCCCAGTCATTCAACTCCCTTCTCAACTGAACATTCCAAAACCATCCCCACGAGCTATATTCCCCAAACTGGAATAATTTTCCAGTTTTGTTCACTGCGATAGAGAATAGTCTAGGGAAAATGACCATTAAAGGATGATCCAATGCCCAAATATCTTGCCAAAACCGAATATTCCTCCCATTAACAATTTTATAGTTATATTTGCTTCTGATTATAGAGCCAATAGAATCTGCTTTAAAATGATTGTTCACCATAGATCTTCATATCCAAGAATATTTAGGAGAAATATAACTGTCAAAATGCATTAAGGATGAGTCCATTTTGTATTTAATACAAAGCATTTCCCTCCAAACCGCATTCCTCTCAGTAGCAAACCTCCAAGCCCATTTCTCCAAAAGTGCTCTATTCATCATATTTAAATTAGGAACTCCCAAACCTCCTTCGATCTCCGGTTTACAAACATCGGACCAACTAACCCAATGAATCTTTTTTTCCATCTCCTCCATCCCATAAGAAATTTGACATAATAGAATTAAGGGACTTATCGACCGAAGCTGGAACCCTGAACATTGACAAATAATATGTAAGAAGTGAACATAGGACTGATTTAATTAAAACCAGCTTGACTGTCATAGAAACAGATGATCATTTCTAGTCCGCTAGCCTCTTATTGAAGCTCTGAACCACTGGATCCCACAGAATGTTGGAGTTTCCGTGTGGACCAAGAGGGAGTCCTAAATATTCTGAAGGAAAATTACCCACTAAACATCCAATCGCAGCTGCCCAATCATTAATTTCCTCTTCGTTCGAATTAACCCCAAACAATTTACACTTCTTCAAATTCAACTGAAGACCAGACATAACTTAAACACTCGAAGCACCCTCTTCACATTTAAAATCTGCTTCTTCAACGCACCACAAAAAATTATAAGATCATCAGCAAATTGAAGATTCGATAAATTAAAATCCCCCTCCTCATTTCTATTTACCAAACCCGAAAATAGCCCCTCTGAAACTACCTTAAGTATCAATAAATTCAGAATTTCCCCGACTATATTGAACAACAAGGGAGACAAGGAGCAACCTTGACAAAGACCCTTAGCCATTGGAAATTCCTCGGTTGTAACCCCATTCACCAAGACTGAAATAGTTGCTATCGTGATACACTTCGAAATCCAACCTATCCATTTAGAACCAAAGCCCATTTCCTTCATTACTTTGAACAAGATAGGATAGTCAATTGTATCATATGCCTTCTTGAAATCAACTTTAAAAACACATCCCTTTAAACCATTATTCCTCCAAAAGTCAATCCCTTCATTAGCTATAAGGGAACAATCCAAAATTTATCGACCGGGAATAAAAGCGAATTGAAATGAACTGATTAAATCTAAGATACAGCTCCTAAGTTTCCTCAACAGACATTTAGAAAAGATCTTGTATAAACCACCAACTAAGCTTATAGGTCTAAAATCATCTAGGCCACCAGCGTTTGAGATCTTTGGAATAAGAGTGATAAATGTATGATTTATTCCATGTTCCCATTCCTTCCCCAAGTGGAAATTATGGAAGAATTTCATAATATCTTCCTTAAGGACCTGCCAAAACCTCTTGAAAAATCTCAGATTAAAGCCATCAAGGCCCGGAGCTTTGTTGCTACCACAAGACTTCACAGTATCCCAAACTTCCTCCTCAGAAAATTCCTTCTCTAAGAACTGACTTTGATCCAAAGTAATTCTGGAAAAATCCAGTTTTAAGTCATTGATTTCTAAAGTGGATCGTTCATTATAAATTTTGAAGAAATAATCATTGATTATGGCCTTAATTGCAGTCGGTTCTTCTACTGTTTCTCCTCTAAAGTTTAGGGCAATCAGAGCATTCCTCTTCTTTCTAGCCGTAGCACACGTATGAAAGTATATAGTATTATGATCCCCATCTTTAATCCATTTCGATCTTGAGTACTGAAACCAAATCTGCTCTTGAATCTTGTGAAGTTTCCACAATTTTGCTCTATGATTATTCAACTCTGCTAATACCTCACTATCAATAGCACCTTGCTTCTGTTGAATATCAACCTCTAACTTCGAAATTTTCTTCTCTAACTCAGAAATCAAGGCTCCTGGGTTCTGATATCTATTTCCAACCCACTTTTTTATTGCATGTTTTGTACTCCTTAGTAAACTAAACAAACCTGCCTTCTTTAGATTTTTCTTACAATTCTGGAGAGAAGAAATAACCAGATCCTGAAAACCCTCATCCATCAAGTAGTTGAAAAGTCTGAACGGTTTTTGCCCCCAGTCCACACCTTTATTCACAAGAATTATAACGTTATGATCTGACAGCGACCTTGGTAGAAGAGACTGAATAATATCCGGATACAAAGACAAAAATTGACTATCAACAAAAAACCGATCTAATCTTACAAAAGTGGGATTCTCTTGGTTATTACACCAAGTAAACCTACCCCCATTCATAGGAAGATCAATTAGACCCGTTTGAAGAATAAACTCATTAAAGATCTCCATTGAACTCTTATTTTGACCTCTGCCCATCTTCTCATCTTCTTGTAAATAAACATTGAAATCCCCTCCCACACAAACGAGATAATTCTGCCCACTTAGATAGATGCTTATTCTTAAAAAAAAAACAGGTTTCTCCTCCTCCACTGCTGGACCGTAAACATTGATGAAACCACAACTGAAATTATTATTCCTAAATTTACCAAATATTGCTATAAATCACATGCTAATAAACTGACTCTCCAGCTCAAAAATATTATCTTCCCAACAACACAATAAACCCCTGCTGATCCAATTAAAGGAGATTCTAAAAATCCTTTTAAATTATTAATCCCACTTCTAAAAAAAACCCTCTGAAATTTCTCAGTCTTGGTTTCTTGCAGCCAAAGAAAAGTAGGATTTATGCTAGTAACTAAATTCTGAACAACCCTCTTTTTTTATTTTCCCCAAACCCCTAACATTCCATGAACATATTACTAACTTTGTCATCTTCATTAAAGGAACAGGTACAAACTAAAACCCTCAACCAATAATACCTTGATTAACCCCAATCAAACCTTTCTCTAGAGCTATAATTTTCACCAAAAAGGCTTCTTTCCCTTCCTTAAAAGACACTCCCAAAAGCTTGCTAACCTCCCAAGTTACTAGAGCTTCTTCCATTAAAACCGAGAAGACTGAGGAGGAGGTTGTATCAATGCTCACTTGTTCAAGTGCTTCCCGTAACAGATTCCTTCTAGTTCTTCTAATTAGCAAATCAGATTTGGATCTTAAGCAATCACCTTCTGAAAAATAACCTTCAATCTCCCTATCTTCACTCCCAACCCCTATACCACTGTCAATGTAAGGAAGATTACTCTCATCAGCAATGAACTCTGCTGATAAACGATGTTGTTTTTTAGTACTGGAATCTCCATCAAACTTTCTCTGACTAACTGTGACTTCATTTGCTTCAGGCGAGAGCTTCAACAAATCCCCATACCAATATCTTCTTTCCCTCGACCTTTCTATAGACTCTTTTGCAACTGCTCAAACTTTTAGTTTCTCGCACATCACTCTCTGTTGTGAACTGTCTTCTTGATCGATGTAATTGTCTCCCCCTTGAATTGATTCCTGAATTAGTTGTAACCAGTTCAACCAACCTTAAGACTTCTTCTTCGGCCACTATTTATGCATTAACCGACTGTTATGCAATTGGGCTCTTCTCCAAAACATTTAACATTTTACTATTATTGTATGATAAGTTAAGGTTTTGAACCAATTCCCCAAACTTATTAATTATAAATGTTGGCCCAGAAATAAAACCCGTAAAACCTTTTGACCCATACTGCTCAGAATCTTCAGAATGGGCCTGTGATCCATCAGCCGAATAATTTTGACTTCTAATCCCCAAACCTGCAATCTCACCAGCTTTTAAACTCCCAACATTCTGACTTTCTGGCAGTCCACAATTAATACCTTTCCTATCTAAGGAAAGTCTTAATAGCTATCTGTCTTCACCAACTCCTCCAGAAACACGAAAAACTCCCTGGTCAATCCAATTATCCACTGAAAGACAATTTTTGCATGTTGCACATGCTTCACCTTCCCCACGATCTGACAACAGCCTGTCTTCATCCTCCTCAGACAAAATCTCCTCAAAAAAATGCCCCATCGGAACCTTCCACCGAAAAATTATTGAAGAATGAGCTTGAATATTCACTTGCCGAACCAATCTTGATACTTTGAATGATCTTCCATAAGATCCGAGAGTGATCACATCTGGAACATCAAAGGGGCTTGCCACCCTTAATAAAATTCTAGCCATTGTAAGGTCTTCTCTTTTCCTTGTAACATCATGAATATCCACCACTGTGCCCCATCTACCTGCTATCTTCTCAAAGAATGGTTCATTCCAGCATAACAGAGGAACCCCTATTAATTCCACCATGCAAAAAGCCATTGGAACTCCCTCATCATTCAGTAATGGTTCCACTAAATCAAACCATTATTTTGTAACCTCTTCCTTGTTACTCCATAAATCATACATCTCCTTATGAGATTTAAAAACTATAACGCAAGAGTTCCATACATAACCACATCTAGCAATTTGGACATCATAGCCTTCTTTAATTAAGGCATTCTGAATAAACTCAGCCTGAAAAGAGTGTTTGATAATCCCTGTTAAAGACCTCTTAACCCAGTTAGAGCTTTCTGATGGAATATGCATTTCCAAAATATTTTTCTTGACATTCCTCCTTTGAAGATCCTTGGAAAATATTTCTTTGTTCCCCATTGTATTCCCGTTTGACATCAAAGCATCCCTATAAGTTCTGTCGTCCCTTCTTCTTCTGTTGAAGTTTCCTGCTTCTCTTGATTTTGAGGATTCTACATTATTCTAGTTAGAAACCTTGTTTGAAGAAATATGCATCCCCCCTAAACTTGGACGCCCCTCCTTATATCTGACAGGACTAACTGAGATCTTCATTCCATCAATCAGAAAACCGTTCAAAACATCGACAGCCCTCTTCAAACTTGCATCACTCTTAAAATGACAAGCAAAGGTGGAAAATTTGTATTTTGGATTTCTTGTTTGTTTGGGAATAAAGACTCTCATAACAGGACCATGGACTAAGAATATTTCCCTTAAAGTACGACGAGAAGCCCTCCTACTATACGCATTGTCCCGAAATCCTATTTCATATTCGTTGCATTTAAAAAGATGACAGAAGCTCGATCGACACGAAATAAGAGCACACGGTGCTTCTATAACTTCCCACAGATATAAAATGTGCTATAACATAAATTATAATGGTAAAAAGCATGGATCATATGCTCTTATATAGAGCTATCACAAGACAGAACAATAAACAATTGCATATTGATGTTTGGAATATCAGACACCATTGTAAAATGATTACGGCCAGTAAATTTCACGAGAATCGGACCAAATTGCAAAGAAATTGAAGTTACCTTGATCTAACTTTTTTCGCACGATTAATATGCCTTTTCAACAGATCTTGCGACGATAAATTCTCAACTGATTGCTCATCCTAAAACCAGGAAACAGAGATCAGCTCATTCCAAGAAAGGAAAAACACAAATCAAATTGCTTATTCTGGTTTCAAGAAGGCATAATGATAAAAAAAATGCCCCTAACGTTTGACTAAATAGTCACTTTGACCCCTTCCCCCTTTCTTTTTGAAGTATTTTCACCCCCAACATTTTATTTTGAGGCAAAAAGACCCCTCCGTGAATGAAAATCGCAAGTCAATAAACAATCAAAAATAGGGACCTTTAGTCAAACATTATGAACTTTTTTGCCCTAAAATGAAATGTTGGGGCCAAAATATTCCAAATAAAAGAATAGGGGACAAAATGACTATTTAAACAAACGTTAGAGGCATTTTTTTGCCATTTTTCCATTCAAGAACTACAACAATAATTCTGATCAAGATACAACTACCCTTAATATCAGATATAAGCAAAAGATCCAGGAGTTGATCTTTGATTAACAGTAACAACACTTAAGTGCATATAAATATGATATTCAACCAACCAGATTAACTTAGATAAACCAAAAAGACAGTAAAAACTAAAATTAGAAGAAAACAGAATGATCGATCATCTTTAGATGTAAAACCAGTCTCATATAAGAAATACACAAAAAGTTAAATCAATGGAGTAAAAAACATACACAGAAAAAGCTGTGATGTTGACATGATGATCGATCCAATCTAACAAAACATAGCATATATCCTTACAAGCTTGTCACATGTAAGAGAAAATCTAACCAGGATCCAAAAATTGGCTAACTTCATACTTATCTCAATTTATATGGTCAAGGATTCACATCCAGGACGTTAATCATGATCATGAATCGAGTTATCAAACAGATACCGTAGGTTTGGATAAAGACAATTATTCTTGAAATACATTTAAGCTCGTATAATCGTATGCACACTCGCATATTTCTCAGCTCAAGGTCTTAGACTAGTTAACATTGCAACATACATTATTAGGTTCTCTCTGTCACTGAGATGCACAAGTTCAAAAATCTGTCCCAAAACATTTTATGACTAGACTAGCATTTTAGCATGGAGGCAGCGGGTAGTTCTATTGTGTCGTGGCCTAACCTACGGCTAATTTGCGGCGGATTTTAACCTAAAACTTTACAATGTCCAACTTAAAAGGTTATACAATTTGTAATAATTTTGGTTACAATCGAGAATATTACATTGCGACGGGATTTAACCTAAAATGTTACTTGTCTACTTTAAAAAGATACACAATTGGTAATAATTACGGAACTTTTTAGGTTACAACCGGAATAGTTATGCAATTTACATAAGAATGTAATATTTTCAGTTTCAACTAAAAATGTTACCCAGTTTACTCTAAAAGGTTACGCTCTTGGTAAGTTTTTTTATTACAACTGATTTCTACCTTTTTAGCCTTATATTAACCTATTATATTTTATACTCATCCGGAGGCAGCTGTCTGAAATTGATGTCAACTCCTATATTTGTAAGCCAACACCGCTAAACTAGAAACCATTGCACAAGACACCACAAGCTCTTTCCCTCTCTCTGCACTACACATGAATGCAATGCAACACACACAACTCCATAAATCTTCATAACATCATTTTATGACAGTATGGCTAACAAGACCATTATCAGAGTTGAGAAACATAATAAAAGTGAACAAAAGTTGGGATATGAAAAGTGAAAACCAACAAAAAGAAACTAACCTCCTTTTTATCCTCCTCTACTGGTTCTTCTCTATCTTCAATGTCCTTTGGTAAATCATCCGTGACTGGTAAAGGTAAAGGTAAAGGCTGAGGAAGAGACTTGAAAATATCTCCGTATTGGGGCTGCTCACAAAACTAATATTACAAGGCATAATAGAAGGAATGAAACCATGAAGCAACTAGGTCATCCATTCGTCTCCTTGGCAAACTTCATAAATTAGATTTGATTCAAAAAGTTTCAAATAAAATTTAAATTATTAAATAGGACTCGTCAACTCAATTAACTCAAAAATTTTTTACTCGACTCAATCGAATACTTGCGCCAATTAGGTACATGAGAATTCCTTTGTTCAAATACCTTAAAATCCAAACTACAAATGCACAAATACCAAAAAGGTAAATAATTAATAAAACACTACTAAATGCCTAAAACTTGCTGAGATGACATTTTTATCAAGATAAATATGTTCTTGTAGGGAAAAACTGTTCTAAGTTTTAAATGTATTCACAGAACAGAAAAAAAAAAAGTAATGCAAACCTGAGTTTCGTCTGGAAACCCATTTCTTAAACATGAACGGCAAAGAGAATAAATGGAAGTCCCATCTGTTATTCTGACCTGCAAGCAAATAGAATTCAAAAGCAATTAGCATAGAGACATAATGAAACGAAAATGAAAATGAGATGTGATAGGTCACCTTTCGGTCCCTAACAGTGACAAGATCTTTGGTTCTCTCCCTAGAGAAAGCAGAGGAGAAGTTAGATGGGGAATAAATATGGGTGATTATTGAGCTGGTCGGTCACGAGTTGAGATGTACTCGACTTGAATAAAAAATTGTTCGACTCCATTTGATAGTCGACAAATGCAATAAAATTTTACTCGCTTTGTTCTCGTTACAAAAACTCATTGCTCGTCAAGCTAGCTAGAATTTTACTCCTCGTTGAAAATTCGAGTCAAATCAATTCGAATTTAGTCCTAACCGAATCAAGCTCCCCAAGGCTTGAAGATTGACAAGAGATGTGCATTTTTTTAATATGAGAGATATTACCTGGCACCTTTATGTCCTTTAGTTTCAGAAGCTGAAAACGGCGATGAAGCAACCTAAAACAAGTATTACAACTCCAACTTAGAACTTATAGAAAACTAGGGATTCAAATTTGCAAACCCAGAATCTTAAACGTTTCAAAAAGGAGGGAAAATAAAAAGAACCTTCGGATGGAGAGAAGGGGGGAGGCCCTTAAGCGGAGGATGGAAGTTAGTAGGATGGGGAAGCGGAGGCGGAGGCGGAGGCGGCCTGGGGTTGCCAGAGGGATGCGAATGAGATTGATAAGGAAGGATCGTCGGAAGGAAACCTCTTCCGGAGGAGGCTACTGGGTAGATCACCGCCGCTGTTGTTGGCGGGCTTGGTCCTCTCATACTCATCGCCGCTCCTGCTGAAGCTTCAGCTGCCACCGCCGTCGTGTTTGCGCCGCCGCTTGAACCCCGAATCGCGGTCGTCGGACCGATGCTTGTGTTTGACATCCGCCTCACCTTAAGCGCCTTAATTTTTTTCAATTCGAAAACCTTACAACTTAATTTTGAAGAAAAAAAAAACCCAGTAAATAAGATACACCCGTGCTATTCCATTAATTGTCCCCTCCTTGGTCTAATTACAATCAAATACGTCTACTATACAGAAATTTCTTTTTAGGGTAAAGTACACAAATGATCCCCGATTATAAGTTATTGATTTGTTGAATTCTGACTATTAAAAGTTACAAAATGGTCCTCCAACTATAGAGGATGTTGCTTTATTGAGTCCCTCAACTAGTAAAAGTTATAAATAATCACTCGACTATTCATTATATTTTAAACTCGTCATTTTCAATTAAAAAATAACAATAGTTTGAGTTGGATGTTAATTTGTTGTCTGAAATATGATAGCCGTTTGAGACTCTATGATTAGATTTTATCATATCTTGGATAGCATATTAACATGCAGCTCAGACTGACATTAACTTTTTTATTGAAAAATGATGAATTTGGAATATAATGAATAATCCAGGGACCATTTCATAACTTTTAATAGTTGATGGTCCTTCAAAAAAATAATAGTTGAGACTCAATGTCCTATAGTCGAATGATCATTTTATAACTTTTAATAGTCGGTAGTCCTTCAAAAAATAATAATCGAGGGACTCAACAAATCAATATCGTATAATCAGGGAACTATTTTATAATTTTTATTAATTAAGAGACTCAACAAAGTCGGGGAACCATTACTTTACCCTCTCTTTTATAATGTTATTAATGAGTCCAAATTTAATACAATCATAGTTGTTATTACATGATTTTTTTCAATTATATAATTAAGGTCATGTAAAGATTCTGCCACTAATAAATTTAGAGGGAATATACGAACACTACTATTGATGATATTTATTTTAATGCATCATTATATAATTAAGTGATGCCATATAATTCAAAAAGTTGAATTAATTTGATTTTAAAATGAGAAAATAACCTCAGTGACCAAAAATCCCATATATAATATACGATTTTAACCAACTTTTTCCGGATTTGCCAAAATGACCAACAAAATCGCAATGCGATCGCTAATTCGCAACGCGATCTCCATTATCGCAAATTCGCGTTGCATTTTCGCAATGCGATAGTTGAAAATCGCGTTGCGATGGTCTACAGTATCGTTGCGATTTTCCCAATTCGCAATGCGAATAAGTAAATCGCAACGCGAATTGGGAAAATCGCAATGCGAATAAGTAAATCGCAATGCGAATTGGGAAAATCGCAATGCGATACTGACTATCGCAATGCGATAATAAAAAATCGCAACGAGATACTTACTTTCGCAACGCGATACTGACTTTCGCAACGCGATAATACATAATCGCAATGCGATTTTCAAAGCGCCATTAGTATCCTGGCCAAGTATTTTTATTTTTAAATTCCAAACATGAATATTAATATATTGGAACACTTAACTGTCCACAGTATATCCCGTAATCGCAACTCATAACCTAAAACCTAAAATCACAACTCAGTCCCATCTCCATCTCTCACTCTCTCACCCATCTCCGACGAAATCCGTCCCCATCTCCGGCGAAATCCGTCTATCTAAATCTCTCAGAGCCACCCTCACAATCAGAAATGGAAAATCAACCAAATCAACCAACGAGGGTTAGTTTTTTTAATTATTTTCTTTTTGAAATTTTTGCATTATTATTAGGTTTTTCATATTGAAATTGATGATAAGTTTACTGGTAATTTCAATAATAGATTAACCATTTCACTTAGATTGCTTATTAAATCAACCAAGAATCGCAACGCGAAATGCAAATCGCAACGCGATTTTAGTTTCGCGTTGCGATTCTCTCGTTGCGATAGTCATTTTCGTGTTGCGATTTTCATTTTCAGAAACTATTCTTCTTCTGCAAATTGAAACTTGAATGAATTGCATTACTTCAACCAAAAAACAAAGACAAATACGAAATTCACAGTGTTGCATATTTAAGTTTGAAGAATAAACTACTACTATTTATGTTTATTATTGTTTTTGGTATATCTTCACAGTGTAGTTTTTGGTATATCTAATTTAGTATGTTTATTGTTTTTGTAGAACTTTTATTCGGCTCAATTGACCTTGAGAAATAAAGTCAGCCTGGCCAAAACAATTGCGTCGAAGCTTTCACCTGCACAAAGAAAAATGTTTGAGGATACATGCTTCGGGCCATGGCTGAAAGTACAACATCCCGGTGGAGATGCAATGTTGACACACCTGTTTCTTCAAACCATGACTAGAGATCTACCAGAGACTATACAACGTCGTGATGAAGAGATATGGTTTGATTTTCCACCGGCGTATACGTGTTTTGGGCGGGAGGAGTTTTGCTTAATCACCGGTCTACGCTTCAGACACGATGATGTAGGTCGGTACACTAGACACATTACCCGCCCATCATGGCTATCCCGGGTTTTTCCTGAGCTGGAGAGGCCGAGTCTACACGTAGAAGACCTGACAAGATTTTTGAATAATAAAGATGGTTTTACTCGGATGGATGACGTCGACGTTGTCCGAGTATGCCTTCTAATTCTTTTGCATGCCGGCTTTTTAGGCAGAGAGGCCAAACAACCTATTCCAAATGATCTAATCAAATTGGTAGAAGACCTAAATGCGTGGAACATGTTTCCGTGGGGCTCGTATTTATGGAAAGCTACATGGAATAAGTTATCGTCTGCCTTGGATGATCGAAAAAGTTTGCATGGCGATGGTTCCAAATACACTTTGACAGGCTTTATTTGGGCCTTTAAGGTAAAAATTTTTATATAATGTTTCCAAAATTATAAGTAATTATTTAACAATTACTAATGTTTGTTATTATATTGTTTGTAGATTTGGATATTTGAGGCCTTTCCCGCCATGAAGACATATGCAATAAAAAATTCAAATAATATTCCCAGGGCTATTTCCTGGAAGAGGAAACGAACCTTGCAATGGGAAGATTTACTACGGTATACGACAATAAATAATGTAAGTTAACATAAATACTACCATATGTTTATAAACAAGTTATTACTAGTACACATTTAACTTTGTTTGAGCTTTTATATTGTTAGGAGGCCAACACTCCTCTACAGAGGCTGACACCCACGGAAGCTGAGCTTGCCACTGATTGGTGGCAAGCTAGTAAGCGTTTTTTTGATGGAACGGTTGATGAGCAGCCTCCACTTCGGGAGCCATCACCTCGCCCAGAGTTATCACCTCACCTAGAGCCATCATCTGATCGACCCGGCTATACACCTCCACAACGACAGCCATCACCTATTCTGTCACATCATCGAGCCTCTTCTCCACCATCACCGCAAGATAGGCGACCGAAAAAGATGCCACGACGTTTATCTCCTTGTTCTCCACCTCCACCTCAACGGGATGAGTTAGGGGAGTTACGTGATGAGGTCAATGCCTTGCGTGAGGAGGTCGGTACTTTACGCAAAGACGATGGTGCATGGCGTGTTGAGGTGTCTACATTACGCGGTGAGGTAGCCGCTCTACGTGAGATGGTAGCATCGTTGCAGAATGAGGTTCATACTCTACGCAACAAGGTAAGTTTAAGATTTTTCATACTCGTAATTCATTCGGTTGCTGCCAATCTGTTTTTGTTAGTATTTGTTTTTGGTTTTGTTTTTGTCTTTTGGATGAAGTAATGCAATCCATTCAAGTTTCAATTTGCAGAAGAAGAATAGTTTACTTTCGCAACACGAAAATGATTATCGCAACGCGGAAATGGCTATCGCAATGCGAAATGAAAATTGCAACGACAAAATCGCAATGCGAAATGAAATCGCAACGACAAAATCGCAACGCGAAATGAAAATCGCAATGCGATTTGTGTTTCGCGTTGCGATTTTGTCGTTGCGATTTCATTTCGCGTTACGATTTTGTCGTTGCGATTTTCATTTCGCATTGCGATAGCCATTTCCGCGTTGCGATAGTCATTTCGCGTTGCGATTTTAAGTTTCATGTTGCGAAAGTAAACTATTCTTCTTCTGGAATGTTTATATATGTTGTCCTTTTAAATGTTTATATAAGTGCTTACTTCTGGAATGTTATCTGAGAATTTTGTGAACTATGATAGAATAATGATTTGGGTGAATACAATGCTAGTTTGAAACATATTTGTCTTTGTTTAATATCATGTCTGTTTATTTACTGATTTATGTATTAATTTTTTTTAGCGGCCCGATAAGGTGGATGCTTTACGTCGGGTTTTCCTTGCACGACGGAGTTCACGCATCAGACGGCGTGGACGTGCTATTACGTCTCCGTTCACCCCAATGGTGCGAAGACTCCGCAAGAAGAAGCCCGACTCACTGGTCATCCCTCAAGAGTCCCCTCCAATCGTTCAAGAGGCCCCTATTCTCCCTCAAGATTCCCCCCCACCGTTCAAGAGGCCACTGTCATCGTTGAAGAGGTCCCTCCCGCCATTCCAGAGCCCGATTCACATGGGGTAATATATCGAAGTATTGAGAAACCCCCACCGGTTCCGGACATGATGGATGAGAGTTGGCACTCGTATGAGTTACCGGCTAGTACCCTTCTGGTATCTGAAGTGGAGAGGAGACAACTACCGGAAACAATTGTGGATAATACCCTTTGGGCTAAGACCGCAGTTGATTTTTATCTACATGAGCGGAGCCAAGGGTGTTACACTGACATCAGCAAACTCAACGATGAAATGTTTTTGTTGCTTGATCGGTCTTGGTGGGGTGTGCTATTAGGGGTTGAAGACAGTGGCTATTTGGATGGGGAGGTAAGACTATATTTGTCTTATATATGATTTTGATTAATTTGTTTAAAAATTAATGTAATTCACTAATATATGTATTTTTTTGTAAAACAGCATATCGATGCGTGGGTGTCACGTCTACTAATAATAAGGAAGCTTAGGAAAAATAAAAAAAATTCGCTATATACAATAATGCCGACGGCTTTTCACGCAGTTCACTTGAAGAATCAACGAGATGAATCATTTTTGTTGGGCAATGGACAAGCTAAACTTTATCCTGCATGGTGGGAGGTCG